ATGAGTTTTATTTACAAGTAAGTCATGTACGACTAAGTAGGGATAGTTGGGGGGGCTCCTGGGAGAGCCGATTAACGGCGCCGATTTGGAGGGAGTCATCCCTTCCATCCTTCTGCCTATTGTCCTTCCTTCGTCTTTCACTCTCCTCAGAATACAGACTCCACAGCAGGAGCAGGCGTGGGGGAAAGGCAAAGGGAGGCTCCGTGATCGTGGACCTGACATCCCTGAGCTTCTCACCAGGAGCAGCATCCCCGACCCCGGGCTGCTCTTTGTGTGAGAACAATCAACTCCTGTGACACAGGTTCCCAAATGTCTGCAGTTCACGGCATTCTTAGTGTCTCAGTAATTTTTTCAGGGTGCCCTGGGCCAAAAGGAACAACTAACACTACCCCTCATTAAGTAGTTAGGTGCCAGCAACTTAATAGTATTTATGTACTAACAACCTATTAGCTGTTTGAAAAAAAACAATGTACATAAATTAAGAATAAAAGTATTTTTATTTCATTCTTAAATAACAGTATTACTGATGGCATGTGTATTCTAACTGTGCCCTCTACTACTTCCGCTCTTGGAATCAGACTGGATACCACCACCTTCAGCTCCCATTCCACACTGATTTTCACTTAGAACTTGCTTGTCTTTATTACTGTGATAAAATACACATAACATAGAATTTACCATCTTACCCAATTTATCTTAGTTTATTTATTTATTGAAGTAATCTCTACACCCCATGTGGGGCTCGAACTCAGGACCCCGAGATCAAGAGTCGCACACTCCTCCAACTGAACCAGCCAGGCACCCCCGATCTTAACCATTTTTAAAGTGTATATTAAGTACATTCACACTGCTGGGCAACCATCACGCACCATGCATCTCCGGAACTCTTTCATGTTCCCAAACTGAAACTCCGTCCCCATTCAACCTAACCTCCCATGCTCCCCTCCCTCCAGTCCACAGCAAACACCATTCTACTTTTTGTCTCTATGATTTCACTCTTCTAGGTACCTTGTATAAGAGAAATCATACAATATCTGTCCTTTTGTGCCTGGCGTAATTCACTTAGCATAATGTCCTTGAGGTTCATCCATGTCGTATTGTATGTCAGACTTTCCTTCCTTTTTAAGGCTGAATACTATTCCACTGCAGGTATAAGACACACATATTCTTTATCCACTCATCTGCCTATACTTGGGTTGCTTCCACCTTTTGGCCTACAGAGTACTAGCTTTTTCATCACAACTACTGAAAGTGGAGCTTTGCAAAGATATGACATCACTAAAAGGATACAGTGCAATCTAATGTTGAAACTGTGAACCTCCTCAAGCTAGTAGTTTGCCTGGAGTCCAAAGGATGCCACAAATCCTTCTGTTTCCTTCAAAATTAAAATTATCCCATGGTTCCCCCTGAGTTTGCTGTGGTACTCCAGTGTCCTTGGCACACCATTTGAGAACCATGCTCCATGATGTGAAAGTCACTGTTTTTTGAGTTTTCAAGTTGAGTAGAACTCAATCCTTAATTAACACAAATACTACAATCAAATTTATATTTCTCATGAGGCTCCCATTGGAGACTTCTCCAGTCTTCAAGTCAGATATTTGTCTGTGTGTCAATCCTTAAATGACATATTCTCTGTACACAGTTCCACTGGATTCCTGAGAGATGGTATAATCACCCTGAAGGCTTAGAAAATGTATTTTCTCAGCCACCATGTAAACTGTGCTTGGCCCCAAGCAATGGTACCCCACTACGATGGTTGGTTTTATACGTCAACTTGAATGGCTCATGAGGTGCCCAGGTATTTGGCCAAATACCATTCCAGGTGTTTCTGTGAGTGTTTTCAGATGAGATTTACATTAAATCAGTAGACTGAGTAAAATAGATTGCTCTTCCTAATGTGGATAGGCCCCACCCCATCAGCTGAAGGCCTGAAGAGAATAAAAGGCTGACCTTCGGCCAAGTAAGAAAGAATTCTTCCCTGAATGACCACTTGCAAACTGGGACATCAGCTTTTTCCTGCCTTTGGACTCAAACTGAAATGTCAGTTCATCCTGGGTCTCAAACCTGCTGTCCTTCAGAAGGGAAATACACACCATTGCCTCTCCTCGTTCCAGGCCTTCAGACTCACACTAGACCTACAGCATCAGCAGGCCTGGGTCTTCAGCTTGCTGACCCGTCTCCCATGTCTTGGGAACTGTCAGCCTCCGTAATCTATTCAGATACAGGTACAGACACAGGGACGGGTACACATTCAGGCACAGATACATCTCCTGTTGGTTCTGTTTCTTTAGAGAACCCTAACTAATACACGCGCAGTCACAGGTCCTTCGGTACTATCCCTCAGGGTCAGGGCACTGTCAGTACTGCATGAAAAAAGCCTGAGAGAGATGTCAACCTCAAGTTCATCACATCATCCCATCACATGATCCCCAAAGTTAAAACCCTGGCACAGCTCACCAGTGTGCTCAAGATAGGTCCAAGCTCCTTGGCGCCTCCTCCATAACCTTTATCTGGCCTCTCCTTATTCCTCCCCAGTCTTGTCTCTGTACACCCCCAACGTGGAATCAGGCAGAAGTTAATGAAACACACCATGATCTCTCCCCTTCAGGTTTTGAGGGTGATTTTCGGTCTATCCAGAATGAGTTCCAGACAGCCCCCCCACACACACACAATTGGCATGATTGCAAGTCTAGCTCCTTACCCTTCAGGTGTCTGCCTAGATATCCTACTGTCCTCCCAGATCCACTGATCAAGCATGGGCTGGGAACCCTGCAAATGTAGCCCTACCGCCATCAATGTATCCCTATCAGAGCCCTAAGTGCACTTTAACTGCCCATTTATTTGTCTGAATTCTCCTAACTCCTTGAGGGCCAGGACTATATTTTATTAGCTATTATATCCCCAGAACAGTGGCTCACCTATAATACATGCTCAATAATTATCTGTTGAGTAAATGACTGGATGAAGTTCAAACAGTCCTACTAGATCACCATTCTCAACTAGTTATTGGCTTAGCTTAGGAACTGTCAATAAGACCTGAAAGGGACACGTTCAGCCACTGCTGGCACCATCCGGAGCAGTATCCAAGCTACAAGGCCAGAGGGGACAATAATACAGTTATCCTCAACCCTTATCCCATGCTCATGCATACCCCGACCATGCAGATCCGGAACAGGCACCGTAAGCTTGGAAGCTGAGCAAGGAGCCAGAAAGTTAGAAAGAGGAGAACCAGGGGACAGCACTAATTTTTGCAAGAGTTCAAGATGTATTAACCCTGAGAGTTCACTCTCCCTGAATTACTGGAAACATAACTTTTTTAACTATGAATATAATCATAACCACATCTGCTCACCATCAAAGTCATATCCCCAAACTCCTTACCGAGGGCAATGCTGAAGTTATTTATTCTTTCTAGATCTTAGCTCCCTTATCAGTTAATCAACAGTAGCATACGACTCAGGGCTGTTGTGAGGGATAACTGAGATTTTATATTGGAAGCACTCAATACAACAGTGCCTGACACATGCCCAGTTATGACATCATAAATAGAAGTTATTACTATTATCAGCATTAATAACGCCAGCCGGGATTCAACAGAAGTATATGTGATGAAAGCAAGCTACGTACAGTTCATTAGACAAGCAAGAGCTGAAAGATCCTCCTGGGCCTCAGCCCCTGAAAATCCAAACACACGAGCTTGCCATTGTAGCTTGCCACACCATGAACGCAGCACCCTGACAGTGATGGTGCTATCTTGGATGCACCCCAAGGAAAGTTTTTCCTATACTTATACTAAATATCAGTAGGTCTAGGAAATAAAACAATCTAAAACAAAACCTAAACCAAAATAAATAAATAAATAAAAGAAAAACGCTAGATATATAGCTTTTTGTACTTTACGGTTTTATAGTTTAGGGTTTTTTCTTAACCTGCCCATTTATACCATGCAGAGGAATACAACAGCACTAAAACAGCTTTTAGGATAAAAATAGTTATTCACCTGAACTGGGTGAGTTATGAGTTAATGGTGAATGGCTATTTCAGGCTGCTAGTAATTTTATTTAGTAGTGTACACACTTAATATAAACATTTAAAACCAGATGCTAAAAATACCTAACAGCATATATAATTGTGCTATTTTACATAACAAAGCTGTATTTCACATGAGATACACACTTCCTTTTTCTGGCCCAAATACACATTTCATGTGCAATATCACTCCTTAAGTCAACATCGGTTTCTAGAGAGAGTGAGTCATTCAAATAATTTGCTATTTTCCAACAATTATTCCATGATTTAAAATTTACATTATTCAAACACTGAATTAAACACTGAAACACTGAACTCAAAAACTGAATTAAAAGTACACTCTCTCTGCATTTCAAATTAACCAAGTTTTCTAGTTCTCCACAAGCCCAAAAATACATCCTTTCATTATTCTCTTCTAGCTTCCTTCCCTCTTGTCACCAGCTGTATTACAGAACTTAGGGGTTCTGCTCTTGGAATAATTTTTTATCATTTCTATGTGCTAATTCCTCACTTTATTGGCTGTTAAGCTTTCTCCCTTTTTATCCTTTTCTTTCCAAACCTTTCTTCTAGCACCCGACCCACACGATGACAGCTCTGGCCGCCCCCCTCCGCCATGGCCCAGAGAATCCCGTCCCTCCATGCATCCCAAGGGTAGGGTCTTGCTAAACTGGTCTTGCCTGCCGCCGCCACCACCACCCACCCTCAATCCGTTTCTGCTCTCTCTGTCTCGCCTTCCACTCTGCTTCACAGTTCCATGAGGTATCATGTTTACCACTGTGGCCTCCTCACCCTCCCATGTACCCATACATCCAGCCCCTCACCAGGGAGGCTACAGAGCATTGTGAGACCATCAGAATTGATCCTGACATTCAATCCTGTAGTTTTCCATGAGATTTGCTTGCAGAGAAGGATCTGGAGAGGAGAAAAAAAATCGTTTCCACTTTTAAAAGATCCCAGAAAGACAATCCTACCTTTCCCAGGATTTGGAGGAAAAGGACTTCCAAACTCCTGCTGCTTTGGCTTTAAATTGTGTGGCCCTGACATGCCTCCAGCCTGGGTGACCTGGAATCGTGGCTTCCCATTGGTGAGTACTTGTCTCCTGGGGCTCAAGGCAGGCAGATGGAGGGGGCTCTCGGCCATGTTGCTCTGAGGAGCCATCCCTCCTCCCGAGGGCATCTTGAGATGAAGGCTGTTAGCAAGGCTTCCGATGGCAGGGCTCGCTGTGCTGCCACAGGACGAGGGGCCAGGAGTCCCAGAGTGGGCTCGGATGGGAGGAATGTATTGGCCACTGACCATCCCGGGCCCCTGTGGGGTTCCTGATGTCCGGTGGAGACTCATGCTGCATGACCTTCCATTCATTCTGAAAAAACCTGTGGCCAGGATGGTCAAATATCCAATGGCACTAATGACTCCTTTCAGGCAAAGTCCAATAAGTTATCCATGGTGTGGGTTATTAGCCTGTTTAAAAAAATAAATGCAGGCATTTTTAAAAGTAAAAATGAAAATAAGTCACAGTGAGTTTTCAACTTGTGTAGCATTCATACCAGGAAGAAAAGAAGCACTCTTAGCCAAACGGCCTTTTATGTAAAGCAGGGTCATCAAACACATGGTTCATTGGCAGGCACTCTTCCCTCCTGCATTCACGGTAGACATGGATTATGGATCACTGTATTGTTTTGTTTGCCCCTGAGCCCTTCTCAATACAGTGCTCTTGGCAACGACAACCAATCAACTGGTACCAGCTTGCAAAATGAAACTTATTTTGCTCCCCAGAGGATCTGTCCATACTAGTTCACTTCCCAAGACTCACTTGGGAAACCCAAGCACTACCTTTGTGAGCTGTGAGACCAACGCTCCAAAGTTTCCAGTAAACAAGCAAAAGGCTGATATGGCCTCTAAATGAGAGTATGAGGATATTAAACCACCTCTGATTTTTACCATAAGAGAAAATTTTTCACAGTCCCTAGACTACAAAAGGTAAAAATAGGGGTCTGAGGTTCTCGCAAAGATGTCATATATCCGCATGTCCAAATAAATCACAGCAACATCAAAGTCTTCGTTCCATAATGATTCTGAGTTATGGGGATGGAAACAGAAGCAACATCACAATACTCTCACCTTCTATTAAGATCCTAGAAAAGGAAAAGTCTGTACAAAACACTTTACGGAAAGCATACGAAAAGAAGAGAGCCTCTAAAGGGAAGTATGTTCGCCACACACTACACACAGCACTTCAACCACAGCTCCACAACAGAGCTCCGTCTGCCATCCCAGCACCCCCTTCCTCAAGTGGCGAGAGAAAACCAACAGCACCGACACGAACACAGGACATCACAATGCCAGTACTCTCTGGTTACAAATCTGTAGGAAAGGTGCTTCCCTCCCTTAACCAAGAGCTCCCCAAAAGGTACACAGAGTCAAGGAAGTGACTGGGTGTCACTAATCCAACTGATTGACAAACACACTCACACTCTGTACTATTTTGCACAGATATGATTGTCATGAAAAGAAGCCAAAGCTGAACTAATACAGAAGATATGACTGAGTGCAAAGCAGTAGGGGTCAGATATTCTCAACTGGATGATTCCTACTCTATCTGCATGATCCACTCAACGTCTTAAGCAATTATTTCCAACCAACACCCACACAAATGGCTTCATCCACCATTAGGGACAGAACGCCACAGAAGGAAAACTCTCTGTGAAGAGAGTTTTCTTTTTCTTTATCCTTTTAAAAAATCAAAAACTATTTTATCAAAAATCAAATATTTTTGATTTTCTAGTCAAGCACTCACTGTGCCCTCTGCAAAGTTTACTGTGTGTGCCCAAATGCTGAGAAACTTCAAAATTTACTAACAATACAACATTTGGAATGTTTTCCTCCTTACCAGTTCTCCACTTTATTAAGAATTCTATCAGTCTGTCACATTTCACATTGCCAGGCCATCCAGTCCTGAGAAACGCTCTGAGGTCCATCTCCTGCCCTTCCCTCCACTACGGTCGCCAAGAACGGACAAGGAAACCCAGTCCAGCCAAACCTTATCACTTAAGTTGTCTTATGGGACAATAACAAATGAACCCTAGTATCAAACCGGTTGTAAGATTTTGGTATTTCACATTGGAAAAATCCCAGTGCCCTTCCTGCTGTGTCCATTTAAGAACTCCAGTGTATTATCAGCTGGTCTGTTGAGTTGTGGGTTGACTGTGAGCAAGAATCATTTCATTTCGGGCGCCTGGGTGGCTCAGTTGGTTAAGCGACTGCCTTCGGCTCAGGTCATGATCCTGGAGTCCCTGGATCGAGTCCCGCATCGGGCTCCCTGCTCGGCAGGGAGCCTGCTTCTCCCTCTGACCCTCCCCCCTCTCATGTGCTCTCTGTCTCTCTCATTCTCTCTGTCTCAAATAAATAAATAAAATCTTTTAAAAAAATAAAAAAAATTTAAAAAAAGAATCATTTCATGTCTCTGTGCTTTGCCAGAGGATGTTGGCCATCTATTCTCCGCTCATTCATAAAACAGTGTTTTCTGAGTACTCTGAACCCTGCAGAAGAGAGCACTTATTCAGCACCAAACAAAATAAATAAGTATATATGTTGTGCTGGCAATTTGTTGAAAATGAAGAATCATCCAACATGACTGGCACTATGAGTCATCATGAGTCCATGTGACAAGTGTCTGTAGATTTGCAGACTATGCCCACTTGCAAGTTTTTAAAAACAAAGGAGTCTTTTTGCCAGCAAGATCATATACAAGCAGGAATTCTCATCAAAAATCTGGATAAAAACACGTAAGTAGGTACTTAGCATTAGGTTAGATCATTAAGAAAGTGAGACTGCAAGAAAAATAATTAACGTGCTGAGAAGTTAATTAAGTATCAGACACTCATACCAGCCTGTCAAACTGGACTTTCATTTTATTTTATTTATAAACTGCAGTCCTGTTTTAAATAGCTTTAGGTTGAAAGTAACAATAACAATAACAAAAATGCACTTAAATTTTATTACTAAAAAGACAACAACCAGAAAGTAAAGTAATTAATGCCATAAAGAAACAGCAGTAAGGCAATGGCGTATAAGCTAAGAAAACCAGCCTCAAGACAAAAATAAAATAAACTCTAGGTGAAAATATGCTTAATAACCCAGTTTTCACATTAATTGTGCCAACAGATTTTTCAAGCATTAGAGACTAGAATTTAAAAATCAATTTCATCTATCACTATTATATTTTAGAAAGGCCATATGATCATTTATAAGCCTAAGTCCACGTAGTAACAAAAAAGGAATAAACTGCTAACTTTTAAGAAAGACACATCCTTAATGAGTCACAGTGTCAGGACACCTGAGTTCTACCTCTGGCAAATCATTTATAACTTCTCTGGACTTACAGATTTCATCCATAAAACAAGGAAGTTGATGATAATCACTACAGTCTCTTGAAATTCTGATCCTCCAGATAATTAAGACATGGAAGATTATCAAAAATACCCACTTAAGATGATCAAGGATAAATACATAGATTTTATACCTATGGCACTCAAATCAAGAGGACAGGGTAGACATGGAAGCAAAAAGAGTAATCTTCATCCACTCCGTCAAAGCAAGAGCTGATAGGAGGTTCTCACGTCAGCAGCGTGTTGAAAGACAACACTTACCTTGAAAAATGGACCTCAGGATTAAATTTGCCTACATTTTGCCAAAAAGCGAAATCACAGCTAATCAATATCAAAACCTAACTGGTAGGATTCCACTGGCAGAGCATCCTTCTATTTAAAAACCTATTCAAGGGGCACCTTGGTAGCGCGGTGGGTTGAGCACCCGACCCTTGATTTCGGCTCAGGTCCTGATCTCAGAGTCCTGAGATCAAGCCCCACATCTGGCTTCTTGCTCCATGGGGAGTCTGCTTTTCTCCCTCTCCCTTTGCCCCACCCCCACCCCGCCGCTTGCTCGCACGCGCGCGTTCTCTCTCTCTTAAAAAAAAAAAAAATGGGGGCAACTGGGTGGCTCAGTCATTAAGCATCTGCCTTCGGCTCAGGTCATGATCCCAGCCTCCTGGGATCAAGCCCTGCATAAGGCTCCCTGCTCAACCAGAAGCCTGCTTCTCCCTCTCCCACTCCCCCTGCTTGTGTTCCCTCTCTCACTGTATCTCTCTCTGTCAAATAAATAAATAACAATCTTTAAAAAAAAAAATTGTTCAAGTTCTCCAGAATTATTTTCTCCTCCACCCTTCAGCCACTGCCTACCCCAAGATGTCAACAGAAAAAAGAGAAGAAAAAGAAAAAGCAAGGAACATCCTGAAGTACAAACTTAGGGTACTTTGGATCTCACATATTGATACAGTTAGAGTTTTAATGCTCTGTCCATTCAAACAATGAAAATGTTCATTCTGTCAAATGAGTCAACGTGAGTTAATAAATCTTCCTGTTGACCACTTTCGAACTCCAAAACACACTCCTGTAAGTCAGGTCAGAAAGGAAATTACTTAACTCCTAAGGAAACTAAGGCACAAAACCATTTAATAATTTTACTGGTTTTCTGGAAAAGCTATGACTTTGATCAAAATACAAAATCATGACTCTACCACCTTCTACCTAAGGCTCCAGGCATTGTGTCTCAGATTAAAAGATCCAACAAGTGAAAAGCAATGTTAACTGAGCCATTCAAGAAAATTCCAAAAACACGAGTGCCATAATGCCTATTTACAGCCAAAAGCCCTTTCTTAGTAAATATCATTAATAAACTCATCTAGAGTCATAATTCATCTGATGAGCCAGTTAATTATTAATTTTCATACATCATTTCATTTCCTTAGGCTACATTTAGCCTTTGTTATATTTTCCATTCCTTATGCCACAAGCGTTTCTTACTTACCCTGCATAGAAAACCTGATAATGAGACACAAAATACTGGTCAGCAAACAAAAATGCTCCTGAGCTGTTTCTTTTATATACATCTAAGCCATCTAAAATAGGGTTTTTATCGATTCTTTTTATTTTTTTCCCTTCAGGTTAATGATTCTATAATTTCATTAACTGCCTTTTCAACATCGCAGCCTTGATCATTAATAGACCCGAGCTATTCCCCTGCGCTTCTCTTGGTTACGGCTTTTGTAACCAGAAGAATATAGAAATGAAAAGCCTATTGACAGATAATATAAGTTATTCTCATGCACGGCTGCAGTGTGAAGCACATTTTGCAATTCAATCAAGGACAGATAGAGCTGAATGTTCTTAGATCCCAGGAGTTCATTTTAATCAGCAGAATGTACCTTGTCCTAACACAGGTGACTGACTCCTCAGAAAAGATTGTATAAACAAAAACCAATCGTGTAAGTCATTTTATTGGCAACAATATAAACACGGCTATATTAGATGAAACCAATAAATCAAAATTATTCTTGTCTGCAATTTTAACAAGAGGAAAGTGCAAACATGTGCCTGTGGAACTGGAGGATATTATAGAGGAAA